GTGAATATTTACTTATCTATCTTTAATTGTGTGAAAACTTTTGTAGCAAAGAGTAAAAAATGCATAGTCAAGTAAGAAAGTAAGTGATGATGATAGGCTAAGGATTGTAGTGAATACAAAGGAAGGTTCAAAAGAGATGACCTTTCTGGTGGTGATGATGAGGATAATGGCCATCATCATGATCCTTTCTACACCTCCCTTCTACTCTCATTAAAACAAGAATAGATGACTTTACAAAGCACCGAAAAGGGTGCTGAACACTTCTCAGGCCTGGTCTCCTTTAGTCCCCGACAATCCTATGAAGTAAGGATTTTCCCCTCCATGTTATGGATGGAACTGAGACTCAGAGAAATGATATGACTTGCTCCAGAGCTCTTTTCAGCTGTGCAGGGCACTTATTTTGCCTTAGGGAGAGCTGTGTGGATGTGACCGAGGAACGGGGAACGTATGGGGAGGCAGATGAAGGCACAGAAGGGCCATTAAACAGGGTGAACAGAGAAAAGGCAAACGATAGCAGGTCCCAGGAAGGCTCATATGTTTCAGTGAAATAATCGGAATGTGATTGGGGAAGGAAAAGTACTGGGCGGTGGTCCAGTTTGTGACCTTGCTAGTATATCTCGTATAGAGGAGAGGTTTGGGAAATAATTGATACAACTATTAAAATGTCCAATAATGAAGATGCAATCAGAAAGAAGGTGTGACTAGGGCTGGGGGGTACATTTTTAGGCAGGGGTCTGGCCTCATTGATAAAGCACACCAAACCACCTGTCCCACTCAACTCCAAAGCAGGCCAGGAGAAGGGCTATGAACACCTTCCCCAGTCCGTAAGATTATTTTGGCAGTGGGAAAAGTATGGCTTCCAGTTGAATTTTCTCCAGCATTTCCAAAACCAACTCACCGATTTTTAATAATTACTTCCTTTGAGCAGGGGGTAATGACCTGGGCTCAGCTATTTCATTTCAAACTAGAATTTAATTTTAAAAGACTTTTTGCTTGTTGGGGGAAAAAAAAAGTCATACCTAAGAAGAATTGGTCAACTGTGTGCTCTGCTGGAGTTCTGCTGGAGAGATTATCACAGCAGGCTGGTGGCCTGGGGGGGTCTGAAACAAATCATTTTTGTAAAATTGAAATTAGTTCATTACAGTCGATAGCTTTTCATTTAATTTTGAAATGTAAGTGGCTATTTTTAAAAGAAGGAAAGGAACTCTAAATTGGCCTACTAATCCAATGAAAGATTGCCAAGAGGATAAAAGCAGACAACTGTGAGCCATACGGGGGTCCTTTCCAAAGCTTGCTTTTATGCCTCTCTTCTGTTCTCATTAAAGCAAGTCCCAAAGATCAAATGAAACTGGGACCCAAGCTGAAGGCAAGGGTACAAGTTGTTTACTTCATCTCTGCCAGCAGCCCTCTCATCACCAGGCTGGGACTCAGACACACACATCAGAAGAATAATAATCCTATTTTCGCCCTCCCAGGTCTCCATCAGGAGCCACCAGGGAGCAGCAGATGACTAAGTCACTCATCTGGCTGCTTCCAGTTGGATATTTGCTTGAAAATGAATGGGAAAGCTCATGAGAAGGGAGAGAGAAAAAATAATCATGGCACCAGTGACTCCCATTAGTGTGGATTTATGATTCCATAAGTGCTTCAGATCAAGTGCCTGCATTTGCTCTTGCCTTTTGGTGAGTGCGATGTGCGTCTTTGGTCCCATCATGCAGAACAGCAATCCCAAAACCCAGAAATGCCCAAACAGAAATTTGTTCCCCGTCACACACCTTGTGGAGAACGTGGGCTGTGAAGGCATTTTCCCTGGCTTGAATTCTGGCTTTATTACTTACAAGCTATGTGACCTTGGGAAATTATTTAACCTCTATCAGACCCCATGTTCTCATCTGTTAAATGGAATTGAGAATGGTATCCATCTCAAAGGCTGTTGTGGGGCTCGAATGGTAAGATGCATGTCAGGTACTAGGAACCCTTTTGGCACTTAGTATTCAATAAACACTATCATTATATTTGTAAAATGTTTAATGGCTCATAAAATATATCCAGCTCAACCATATATATTAAGCACCAGAACCAAACACTGCTTAGTTCCCGGGATGGGAGAATAAATCACTCATGACCCCAGTTACCTCTCAGGTCACAGATGAGCATAAGAGATGGCCCAGATAAGGAGACTCACCCAGAAGAAAGTGGTATTTTAAACCATGAAGGTAATTAGTGGGAGAATTTAGCCCAGCCTGAGAGTATCAGAGAGCATCCTGAAGGAAATACTTTTCTTCTTTCTTTCTTTTTAAAAAAAAGGTTATCTTTTATTTATTTTTTTGTTGATTTTTTAATTTATCTATTTTATTATTATTATTTTTTTGTTAGAGGCCCTGGGGATTGAACCCAGGGCCTCGTGTGTCGTAGGCATGCACTCTACCACTGAGCTCTACCCTCCCCCCCACCACGGGGAATACTTTTTTAATTTTACCTTTTCCAAAATTCTCTGAACAAAGTATTAATTTCATTCATTCTACAAATGAGTGAAACAAGGCCCAAGGTCAAGGACTTCCCAAGGTCCCTCAGCTCATGAGTGGCAAAACCAGGTCTCAGTTATCCCAAATGACCTCAAGGATATATTCCCTAGAAATTAAGTCATTGAGTTATTGAGCTGATTTTTTTTTCTTCTCCACTATCTTTCTTGTTCAAAAAGGAACAAAAACTCATTTTCCCCCTGCATTTTCCCTTTTCTCCCACAAAAATCTGGCACAGTGCCACATTCTAGAAAATCCACAATCTGCTGAGAGTCACAGAATCCTAGAATGGAGGGGACGGTTGTTTGCTGGTAGGGATCTGGAGGGGCAGAGACATACATATTGTTGAGTCCTAGTTAGACTACTCACAAGCTCTATGACAATAGGGTAGCAACTTAACCTCGGAGAGTCTCAGTTTTTCCATCCATAAAATGGAGCAGTAAGTTTCCTCCTCTTTAGAGCTGCTATAGTGATGACGTTAGCCCAGTGCTGGTACACGTTACAACTGCTCAATAAACAGTCACTAATCGCTCTAGCTGCAGAAATGCCACCTAGTTCATCCACTTTACCCCACTCATCAGATCACACAAATCATCGGCGCACTGTTTTGTTTTGAAAGCCATCCCCAGAGGGAGATTCTGAAGCTTCACGTGTGAAGGGTTTCACTGCTTGACTAAGGTCATAACCTGGAAATCCAGCTGTTCTATACTTTGCTGTGCTTGCATTTACAACATTAACATTCTGCTCTTAAAAAATAAAAAATTGAGAATGGCTGGTCTTGCTTTTTCTGGATAAATGAATTAACATGTCAGCATTCTCTCTCCCAAACTAAACTAATCCCAGAAATTGCATGTTTGTCTTTAGAAGACCACTGTTACCTACCACTTTCCACCGGTACCGAACAGGACTCCTTCACGTCCTGAGACGGCGGTGGTGATAACGCGGGTAGCTGGTCTTAATAATACTGTGTGTTGTGCTCTTTATTTTCAAAGCACGTTCGCTTACTTACCTTGTTGATCCTAATACAGCTGGGAGAGCTCGGGAGGTCGGGATGAGGATGAGGAAACCGCAGTGTCAGTGAGAGAACAGCAGCCACCGTGGCTAAGCACTGATTAAGTTCCAGGTCTTCGATGCCTGTTAATCATATTTAAACTTCTTAAGAGCCTTCTTTAGTAGGTGTTACTAGTTCAATTTACAGGAGAGGAGGATGAGACTCAGAAAGGGAAGTCACATATCCAGCTTTCTCCAGATACTGAACGGTGGAGTGGGGAAGGTCCAGAGCTATCTGACTCCAAAGCCAGTAAGCTCAATCGCTAACTTATGGAAATTTGCTTACCCCATCAGTGATTGACACGACCATAAAATCCAGGATTCCTGATTCACAGTCCAGGATACCTTCCATCAAACCACTCCTTCAGTCCATCATGACTGGGCGAGTTGCTGGAGCTCGACCCACCTATGACTAAAATATTCGCTGCTCACATAGAACTGCTTTGCCGCTGTTCCCCATCCCTAAAAAAGCTTCTGGGCTTTTCTTCCAGGTCCATGCCTATGACTTTGGGGCTCCCAGGCATGCAGTCAAAGAGGAATAAATAAATATATATATATATGTTTGTTATATATTTATATAATTTACATAGATCATGTAAATTTATGTTTGTATTACATATCTCTGCACACAGTGCATGGATATACATGTATATAGTTGCATATACATGCACACACTTCCAGAACTTGCCGGATTCTCTGGCCAGAACAAAGATTTATCAGCTCAAACAGACTTCTCAGGGATTTACCAGCAAGGATATTTCTTTAAATATAGAGTTGGATGTGTGTTGGTTTGCAATTTGGGGAATTTCCTGAGTGAAATCTGAAATCAGGCCCCATATGCAGAAGGTCAGGGGAGACTGAAGAAAGAAGCAGACCACTCCAGACTGGTAGGTGGCAGGTGTAATAAGCAAGGGGAGTTTACTTACAAGGGTCTGGAGTGCCCGCCTCCAATCAAGGCAAGGAGATCTCTGCACCCGCCCACCAGAATCTTACAGGTTGGTGCAGATGCCTTAACTGAGTTTGGTAATGCGCTCAGCCCAGACGGTCTCAACACCGTACTCTCTCAAGGGTGCATCCTTGAAATAGCTTGGGGTTTGGGAATGGTGGATGGAACACACATTCCAAGGGCTAGAGAAAGGGTGAGGAGCCTTTGATCGCCAGGGTCTAGCTTGCTGGTCAACTGGTGGTCACATCCTTTTGATGACCTCATCCAACAATGTGGAGAAAAGTGAAAGAGAAAAGACACTCGGAGTTTCTTCTCTTTCCCTGAGTGTCCGTCCACGTGGGCCTAGGTGCAGACTCACATCTGAGTTTTAAAGCAAGCATTAAGCTGAGGGATGGGTTCCAGCCATGTTCAGCTTCTCCTGCGGAGTCCGTGCTTATGTTATCATTTGAGCTGCTCCACTCATTCATTTTCCATTTCAAAAGGAGATGACGGTGAGAAAGGAGATCCAGGAGAGGAAGGAAAGCATGGCAAAGTGGGACGCATGGGGCCCAAAGGTAGGTAACAAGATATGGCTGTGACATTGTAAGTTTCAAAATGCTCTTCTGTCTCTCTACCAGACTTCCTTGGACCTTAGCAGCTTTCATAACAGCCTCTGTCCCCAAGATCCATGAAATGCATTTCAGCTATGAATTTACTCACCACCAGAGAGTTCCTGTGAGATTGCCTGTCAGCAAGACTCAGACACAGTTCTCAAGCTGCATCCTTAGGGCTGGCGTGAGTGAGACACCCTGGGACCTCTAGGGAACAGCAGTCTCTGGGAATATCAGAGAAACCGTGAGTTTTAGAAATGCAGCTGTGTTCATCGCTGTGTCTCCCCTCTGAAAACATGATAAGCAACTCTGGCTGGCTGGCTTCAAGGTGAGGCGGAAAATAAGAAAGAACAGAAAGAGGTGTCTGATCCATTGATTTCCTCACCTTTCTCCAAGCTCTCTTGGCAAATGGTGGCGTTTATATGGGAGGAACGGGAGCAAAGAAAGTGAGAATCACTCAAAGGGAATGTTTTTACTCACAAAGCCGAGACTGTGCCTCGCGAAAATATAGCTTCTGGATTGCAATGTGTAAGCATGTGTCTTCCAAGCACTAGAAATATTCCCTGCCAACTGCTACAAGGGGTGGCCTGAGAACACTGATTTTAAAACCTTTAGTAATTAAAGAGAAGAAAAGACCCACAGGCCTTTGAGACCTCAGTTTGAGAAACACTGATTTAAACTCTTCTTATTCTTTAAATATGAACAATCAATTGCAGAATTATTCTCACAAATATATACCTTTATAACTGGTAAATTTTTTTTTAGATAATCATAGATTAAAAATGAAAATTAGTAACAAGTTTGTGAACTCAGCGATCTCTGATTATATATATATTTTTGGATAAAAACTTGGTGGGACAATCTCTGATGTCCCTTTGATTACTAGGTATTACAATTGTATGTCCCTTCCCTTTTAAAACATGGCTAATATAGGCAGATTTTTTTTTAAATAGAGAGGAAATAGAATCCCAGAGTGAAGCCAAAGTGGATTTCGAGAGGAACACAATTAGAATACAATGCAAGAATTCTTTCACTCAGCCCCTTATCTGACCTTTAGATTGAACGTCCTCTGCTAGAGTTCTTTAGGAAATAGTGCATCTGTAAGCATTTTAATATCATCAGGCCCAGGACTGTCACACTCACCCACATTTTAACTTTAATACATCCATTTAATGCTATTAAAATAGCAAATAAAGCCTAGGATGTATATTACATACCACGGATAGAAGGATGCGCTTTTGGTATTTCCTTCCAGTGAATATTGTATGTTAGGCACATCATTACAGGGAAGACAAAACCTTAGGATACAAAGATGATATGCTTTGTTTTTCAGGAATTAAGGGAGATCTGGGTGATATCGGAGACCAGGGCAACATTGGCAAGACTGGGCCCATTGGCAAGAAGGGTAAGCCACACTTTACTGTTCTCCAGTAGCAATTTAAAGCAAGTCGAACCTAGCCTTGATTTATTTTGAGATGTTCTGTAGCATGAAAATAACCCCTTTTCTTTCTTTTAAAATACAAGTTTTCTCTTCCTTTATTTCCTGGCTGTTTCTTCCATACGTAAGCAATGTGACTTTTAAAAAAAGACCTTGAGCAAAGTTAAACTGAAATTCAGGGACAGATTCAAACATAAAGTTCAGTTAGGCTCTGTGTAGAACTCTCTCCTGGGATTTACTAGTCATAATCCTTTATACAAGGAAAATGGGTGTCATGACCGTGAAGCATGCTCAGCTGGAGGAAACCATTATTCGTAAAACTCAAGGTAGTAGAGAACAGTATAATATTCTTTTTTATTTTCAGTGGAATAATAATCATTCCGTGTCTGGGATCTATTAGCAAGGTGAGAACTTGAAGTGTATATATACACATCGTTTTGTTTTCAGTCACATCCTGACCCTGCACATTCCTGCTTTAGTTTTATGAAACAGAGGCAGCCGCCTGCATGTCTTCTTCCGTATGGTCTGGCACTGATTCAAAAGCACTCATCTCCATCAAATCATCTTCTGTTAATTCCTCTGGTGTGATATCCACTAGCTCTTTAATTTCTCCAGGATCCATATCTTGAAACCCTTCGCCCCCTGCCCGATTTTTTTTTTTTTTTGCCACATTCAGTCTCTTTCCTGATTTCCTTGATTGGCTCTGTTATAAATCCTATGAAGTCGTGCACAACATCTTGGACAGTTTTCTCCGGCAGGAGTTTACTGTTTCAGCTTGATGGTTTTCATGGCTTTTTCTATAGCAACGATGGCATCTTCGGTGGTGTACTCCTTCCAGGCTTTCATGATGTTTTCTCTGTCGGCTTCTCTTCCATAGCACTGACAACCTTTTCCATACAGTACCGTGTATAATGAGCCTGAGAGGTCCGTATGACACCGATCTAGAGGCTGAATTAGAGATGTTGTGTTTAGGGGCAAGTAGATGCCTTTGGTGTTGAACTCATAGGGTTCTGGGTGGCCAGGGGCATTTGTCCAATATCGAAAGAACTTTCACAGGCCGTCCCTTTCTGTCAGGGTACCTCCTGACTTCAGGGACAAGCATGATGGAACCAGCCCAGAAGAAGGTCTGTCACTGTCCAGGCCTTCTTGCTCTACAACCAAAACACTGATGGCTGGTGTCTACCTTTCCCCTCACGGCTTGGAGGTTAGCGGCTTTATAGGTAAGGTTACTCCTGACCACAAGCCCGACTGCGTTTGCACAAAATGGTAGAGTTGGTCCACCCCTTCCTACCTTAAACCCTGGTGCTCACTTCTCTTCCTTACTAATCAACATCCTTTGTGGAATTTTTTTCCAGAATAGGGCACTTCTGTCTGCATAAAAATCCTGTTCGAGGGGGGAGGGTATAGCTCAAGTGGTAGATCGCATGTTAGCATGCATGAGGTCTCGGGTTCAATCCCCAGTACCTGCTCTAAAAATAAATAAATAAATAAATACTAAACCTAATTACCCCCCCCCGCCAAAAAATAAATAAACTTAATGATTTTTTTAATGGCGTCTGGGAACTCATCTGCTGACTCTCCATCAGCAGAAGCTGCTTCTCTTGTTAGTGAGATTTTTAAAGCCAAACCGCTTTCTAAAAGTCTCAAACCATTCTTTGCTGGCATTCAATTCTCCAGCTTTAAGTCCTCACTTTTCTTTTACTTTGTCATATGGTGACTTCACTTTTTCTCAAATCATATTAGGATCTATGGGTGTGCCTTTCTTATAGAAATCCTGCACCCACATAAATTCTGCATTTTCAATATGAGACAAAAAGGTATTCCTCAAAAAGTGCAAGGTTTTCTTACCTGCCGGTATAGCTGTAGCAACAGCTTCACAAATTTCCTTTTCTGTCCTGCACTGGATTCTTTTATCTTGAAATGGCGGGCAATCCCAGCTGCAGACTTCAATCTACAGTACATATCAAGCAATTCAGATTTGTCTTGCAGTGTCCTGGCTCTTCTCTGCCTATTGGGAGCACTGCCAGCATCACTAGTGGCACCTTGTATGGGCCACATGGTGTTTGTTACTCAAGGTTTACAGTATGGCACTGAACACGATGAAAAATATGGGAGAACTGCTAGTGATCATTTTTTACTTGGATAAACAGTTTACTTGAACATACGAACTGCTCACTTGATTTATGCAAAGATGACAATTTTTGGAAATGGAAAATGAGTCACCTATCAATAAACAGTGCTAGATCAATTGGATGTTCATGAATGCAGCCAGACATATGCAATACGTAATATATGAAAAAAAAAAGAATTAGAGGGGCACAAAATTCAATTTTGAATTAAAATATTATCATTTTTAGTGAATTTTGTAATGTGGTACTTGACTACTTTTAAAATTTAATGATTTCGTTTTATTTCTTTTCTTGTAATAAGTATTCATGTTTGTAAGTACTTCTCCATCTGCTATTTGGTTTTATATTTTTTTTAAAGAAGGCGCCTCAAATTGTATAAGCTTCAGATAAAATGCATCATGGATCTTCCCCTGGCTGTATCAGACTCATTTAACAAAAGGTTAAAGTTGTGGCCAGAGTAGGGGATGCTGGACTTCAAAATGTCTGGGATGCAACTATGTCATATAAGGTTAAGATCTCAAGTATTGCCCCAGAGATGAGCAGAAGTGGAAGGGGAGGCTAAGTCACTGCCATGAACACATTCAGAATTCAAGACCTTTATTTTTCAATGACTTTCCTAGATTTAGATGTGCCAAATCCAAATGAGACTCCAGCCAGGAGAGCTGGAGTTAATGATCTTGAACCAAGTCTTAATCCTTTCTTAGAATAAGACGAGGTAATTTTGGAAGGGAGAGGGGAGGATGACAGAGACAAGGATTTTAGTGTGATTTTCTGAACCTCAAAACGGATGAACTTTCAAATATTGGAGAAGTAACAGTCTGGAAATGATAGGGTTAACTAACCTTGTCTTCTCCAGGCCAATTCGTTAGTCGAGCTCAGGTGCCTATTCACCTAGAGACACCTCCATCACTTTACTTGTTCTCATGGTTTATTAGCTTGTCTGTTTCACCCACTAGGCTGTGAATTTCTGGAGGAAACATATGGATGAAAGATGTATCAGGCCTATTTGTTTAAATAAATATAAGCTTTACGTGAGGACCCTACTTTTATATCATTTTTTGTAATGTCTATTATACTGTGGAAACTTTCTAAACATTTGTTGCGTTATTTTTTTTTAATATTTTTTATTGATTCATAATCATTTTACAGTGTTGTGTCAAATTCCAGTTGTTGCGTTATTGATGAAAAAATAAAAGATAAAATATTTTATTTCCTATGATGTGGCCCTCTTTTCTATTCTTTATTTCTATAAATACCACTTTCTCTTAACATCAGTTTTCACCATTGGCTGAGATATTTTTTTTCTGCTCCAGAGATATGCCATCAAAATTTATGATCAAGTCCTGGAATTTCAAAAAAAAAAATGGAGGTTCAGTGTTCTGGCTCACCTGGATTAATTTCATTTTTAATCTGTACTTTGAAATTTATTGTTCTCATTTTGTCATTGGCCCTTCTAAATTTTTCACTGACTCAGATTAATCTCAACTTTCTGGGCTGACCTTAATGTTGTCACTTGAATGGATAAGGTAGCTTTCTGGATGTCAATATTTCATTTCAGGAATAAGAAAGAATGATTTAGTATAGGTAAATTCAATCTCATAGCAAAATAGATGCTTTTACTTAAGGTCAATAATCCTTTTACAGTGGAAGTATTATGATGTTTTGTTTGTTCGTTTAAATGCAACCTCTAATTCTTCAACCTTAAAACAGTTAATACAGAGGTATTCCCATTTATGGGCCAAAAATAGGTTTTTGTGTATGGCTTTAAACCAGAATTCTTTCGGGTCAAGTGGACACCAGGAGCTCACATCCACTATGAATTGTCAGTACTTGGCTCTCTTCACCTTAACTCTGATTTAGGAGCAGAAGCTGACATTGGTGGAACATCCTCTAGGGGTCAAGCACAGACTGAATCCCATGATAACACATTATCTAATTTATCCTTCTTAATGATCTTATGACTTTAGGTACCATTATTCCACTTTATAAATGAAGAAATGGAAAAAAACAAAACAAAACAAAAAAAAACCCACACCAAAAAAGTGAAGAAATGGAGGCTTAAAAAATTAAGTAACTTGTCCACATTTAGTGGCACAATCAGGATTCAAGCTCTGTTTTTTCAGACTTCCATGGTTTTTCACTTGACTTTCCTAGCTATTAAAAAAAGGAATTCAAATTAAATTACTGGAACATAGACACAGTGCTTACATCCTGTTAGAAAAAATAATCCATGTATCAATTCAGGAATCTATTTCTCTCATTTGTAAGATCTAGTCAAAGGCTACCGCTTCAGTGAAGCCTTCCCTGCCCTGATCCACAGCCATCTTTCCTTCTCTGAATGCCCACCAGGTACCTGCTTTATTTCACTTTTACATTAGAGGATGATAGTGCCTAGTGTTTCATCTCCTTGGTCTCTGATGTATACTTAGTTTTCCTTAAAAACTTATCATTTTCTAAAGCAAATACGCCGTGTATGCTTTTTTAATGTTCATTATTGGGCTTAGACCAGAACCAGGATCATAGCAGACCTAGAATCAATTTTCCATGTTGAATTGGAAGAGATTCACATACAAAGAAGATAAACTATTTTTTAAATTAAAACACTAAGCCATATTCATATGATCTTTCAAGTCCATACCGTTTTTGGTGATGACAGGACTGGTATTCCTTTCAATTTTTTACAACATTTTTTGAAGTCTTTGCTTCTCTTCATTAAATCATTGGTTAAGTTATTCAGAAAGCACCATGAACTGGGGAGTCAGAAGTGGCTGGGTTTCAACACCAGCACCTCCACTGAATTGCTGGATGTCCTGGAGTAATCCACTTTGCCTCTCTGATCCTCAATTTCTTCAGTTGTACAATAAAGATAATGATAGTGTCTAGTTCATTGGATTTAGTATGATAATATCTATAGGGTATCCAAACAGTACTTGACAAATGATTGTCACTCAGCAAATGTATATTCCCTTTATTCAGTCAATATATTCTCAAAATCCAGCCTTATCTTTTCCAAGTTACATATAAGGGAAATGAGGGGTTCACAGGACAGAGCTTAGGTGTGTCCAGATCAATCTTCCTTGTCAGGGTGCTCGGTGTATTTTTATGGTTTTTTCCCAACCTTGCCTCTACTGTACATCGTCCCTGACCTTCTCCCATCTTCACCTGCGGAAGCTTTTCATAGCCAGGCTCCAGTGCTGTCTCTTCAGGAGCGACCTCCTTCATTCTTCCAGCCGGAGCACCATCTCTTCTCGCCCCCTCCTACAAGGGACAGAGTGTGTTCATTGCCTCTCTTACAGTATTTATCACATTCCATTGTCCTGGACTTCACCATTGTCTCATTTCATCCAAGTGCAAGTTCTGAGACATCCTCCTGCGTACTCAAACCACATTCAGGGTTTCAAGGGCCCCTCCTTTTGGCTGGGGGAGCTCACAAATGTCTGGCATCATTGTAAAGAAAAGTGTCCACATGGGTCAATTTGGATAGGCTCCAGCAAATCCTTGGGGCCCTGGCAGCCATGCCTTTCTGGATGATCAATGGCCGATAGGTACGAGACCCTTCATGTAAAGCAGTCAGCAGGCAGTGGTGAAAGAATAACTACAGGGCAGGTAATACGGGTCTCCTTTTCGGTTTTAAGGTGGCTCCCACCTTTTCCCTTTTGCTGGTAGAGGAAGGGGTTAAGCAGAACCTCAATGCTGACTCCATTCCCCCTCACATTGTCCCCTCGGGTCATATACCCAATTCCAGGCCACACCAAAGTCCTACAGGAGTAAGCCCCCTCCTCTTCTCTAGCCTGGGTGACCTTCATCCTATATTCATCCCTCCTGAATCCTTTCTTATTCTTTTTCCAGATCACCACTGAAGCATAAACTCTGTTTTACTTCTATCAGGGTCTTCTCTTTTGAGTCCCAGGAACTTCAGCCAAACATTTCCTCTTATAAATCAAAAGCTTTTGCTTTCAATTATTGTGTCTGATGTGGGCTTCAAGGGCTTATTTTGAAGTTGGGGAAAAAACAACATTTTTTTTCTCTCTGCTTTAATAAATCTGATTCTCTGAGAATTATTTTGTGGATGTCTCTGTAAGAAACATGGTCACATACAAAGAAGAACAGCAAGGAAACTTATCAAGGCTGATATTTCAGGATAATATATTTGACATGACTTTATACTATGGATATTTGCATGTATCACATCTCTTCCAAAAAGCAATAAACTCTTTCAAGCCAGAAGTTTAATCTTGTCTCTCTTTATATCTTTTCAAAGTACCAAGCCTTTTGTCTTGCATAGAGTAAGTAAATAGTAGATATTTGTTGAATTAAATTGAAAAAGCACAGTGCATGTTTTTGAAAATCCAAGGGGCAAGTCACATGAAAGAACTTAGGGGCATAGTAAATACACAGACACTATGTGTATTTATATATATGCTGATGCAGATATATCAAACAATGGCACTTTTAAAATTAAAAACATGCAAGCAAGAATTGTATTAGCCTTGCTCACCAGTTCATATCATAAAAACATGTTAGTAGGATAAGTGACACAAATTTAAATGTTTCTTATACTTCCAACTGGAATTCTACATTCCACCTAATTAAATTGTGACTTATTTGATTAGTTGTACCTGTGCAGCCAACTCAAAGTCAAATTATTTTTATAAAACCAAGGAAATTTAATTGAAGATATTACAAATGCAATTTAAAACTTTTTCCTCTTATTTTAGGTGTGCAGGACATGTCTGTCTAAAATACTTCTGTTTCATCCTATTCTATGCACTATATTCTGTTCATCAATAGTACTGTTTTATTTAGTTGTTCTTTTTGTGGCTGTTGTTTTTCTTCAGGTGACAAAGGGGAAAAGGGTTTGCCTGGGATACCTGGAGGAAAAGGCAAAGCAGGTATAATATACTCATTTTTCCTCTTTCATTGCTAGCATTATTCCAAATGTATTCATTGCAAACATAAATATATTTAATAGAAAAGCAATAGTCCGTTCAGTGTGATTCAGCTTATTTTTCTCGGGCTAGGGGAAAGGGAAGATGCAAAATGTCCTCTCAATCAGCTGGTGACTTTCCAGCCCTGGGGACGGGGATAACGGTGCGCTCCACCCCCATCAGGCTTGCTGTGAGGCAGCAAACCCAGCACATCAGGAAGCAGACTTCATTCTCCCAGACAAGTGGAAAATCCACAAAGTCCACAGCAATAGGGCCAGCAGGCCTTATATTCTACCAGCATCTCAACCAAATACTGGCATGATCCAGGGAGAGCCCATGGTTACAGAACATGCTTCATGGCAGGGGAGCTTCTTGCTGATACGAAAGAGAGCTTTACTTCCAGTGTTAGATACATGGACAGAAAGTAGCTTGTTCTTGGTGAGCTTCCACGATTTCCACCATAAAATTGTAGTGAAAACTAATTCTAAGAACTGTTTTAAGTTCCTTATATTTAACCGTGATATGGATAAATAAAGCCACAGATATTTTTATTTCCCTTTGGCTAATAGAATTCTTCTTGCTTTTCAACCACCAAAGAAAAAAGCAAACGGAGATGTTTACACGAAGCAGCTGTTAAACAGGAAAAGGGAATCATTTGAATTTTATATTGCTTTCCTTAGAATTTCTTCTCTGTTGTATTATCAGTAGATAGTTGCAAAGGTAAATGACTGAAGGGGAATTAATGGCAGAAATTAAGATCATAGTTAATCCACGACAGTTGGCTCTTGAAATTGGAAGATGGGTCTATTCACAAGATTTAAACTTAAACATTAAGCTATACTCCAAATGGATGATCAGAATTAACGTTTGATTTCATCATGAAAGGTTTCTACTGTCTTGGGAGAGTCGTGTGAGCCAGTGAACAATGCAGTAAGAAAAGAAGACTAGCTAGAAATACGTTTTTAAATAGCTGTAAAGATTTTAGTCTGAGACTGGAGAGGTACTTTCTGTGTTCAACAAAAAAGCCAAATGGTTCACAACGTGTGTGCAGTGGTTTGTCATATTTACTGTTCCTTAAAAAAAAAAAATCTTGCTTAGAGCTGTGTTTTAACTCATTCAAAATAATTAAAAAGACATTTTCTGTAATCCTGTAGGCAGTGTATATTGGAAACCTTGTCTTAAATAAAAAAGGAAAAGCACAGCCATTCACAAGGAGACAGAGCCAGGCTGGAAACAGACAGGAAATACCGGGGAGAGACCAGTTGCTCTTCGGGTCTGCATGTGCTTCAACATGAACTCACAGTTCTGTCGTTTAAAAGGTACCGTCTGTGACTGTGGGAGATACCGGAAAGTTGTTGGACAGCTGGACATCAGTGTGGCTCGCCTTAAGACATCGATGAGGTTTGTCAAGAATGGTGAGTCTGCTCTCGCTTGCTTTGTGCTATGTATCCATGAGTTTATCTCTTTCAACACTGCAGCTCCAATATACCTAGCAGGAAGTAACTTGGTCCGGGCAAAGGCCTCCTGAGATAGTGTCACCGGTTTAAAGGTCTCTCGAAATGCTAATTACCCTACTCAGACTCTAGGCCACTTCAGGTCCACTTTCTGTAGGCAAGCATGTGTGCCTGGCCGGTGAGTAGAAAAAGGTGCTTCAGTGAGAGAGGGGAATGGAGGGAAGGGTGGAGTTCGGCCAGCCAGGCCTTCGGGATAAAGAGGGACAGCAAGAATCAAACAGCTAGCATCTCAGAAGACAGAAGTAACAATATTGCCAATGACTACTTTCTTGAGTACTTGGAATAATAATACTTTTTGTGATTCAGGTACTATGATTAGACTGCAGCTTAGAGAGAGTACCGTGCGCGTAGGTACAGAGCTCTGAACAGTGGAGCAGGGATTTGAATATGGGTTTCACGGGCTCCTCTACCCTCAGTGCAAATCAATAGGAACATTATGTGTTTCTTTAAATTATGCAGCTTTCTGTATTAGTCATTTCTGTTATCTCTTGTCCATTTCCTCATTCCAGTTAGCAGTGAAGCCCTGAAAGTTGGGGCTTATGTCCTCTCTTCTGAGACAGTATGAAGGAGGGAACTCTTGCAGTTACTGTCACTGTTGGGTTCATTTTGTTGTATTCTCATTTATTATAACCCAGCCATATCTACTGTCCATTCCTGGAGGCACACAGATGCCATCTCGTGTCCGTCCTCATCTTGAAATACTACAGGCATAGAAAATGTTTGATATTCACTAGCCCTTAATTATAACTCTAGTTATAACCTGCTTAGAAGATGCTGCCTCTGACATGACTTGAATCCTAATGAATAAACCAGACCGCAGAGGTTCAACAGAGAGTGACAGTTCTTAACATTCAAATGGTCATAGATTTATTTGTAAATCTTAATTTATTTACCCTAAAAATATATGCAGTTTCCCCCAAAGCCCAAAACATATATAGCATAGTATGAGCTTGGGATGACTCTGAGTCCCCAGTCTGTCCTGAAGCTTTCTCAGTGGCTCTGTCTACTTCATGTACCTGGAGTGAAGTATAGACAATCTCTGTTGATGTACATGTTCACGACCTAGGAATCTGGCCCAAAGTGGACAAACTTCTGTATTATTTCCATATGAGTCCAATAAGCCTGTACAACCTCCTGCACTGTTGTAGGCACTGAGGCTACAGAGTGACAAAGACATAGTCATTGGCCCCAGAAGGTTCACAGGTTAGTAGAAGAGACACAGACAATTAGACTAGAATGTGTTAAGTGCTATGAAGTGAAAAAGGCATCAGAAACACAGGAGAGAACGCACAAGAGTGCCCGTGTCTGCCCTGGGGCACCGGAAAGGCTCTTAGAGGAGGAAACACTTCCACTGAGATCTGAAAGATGAGAAGGAATCTGCCAGGTAAAGCAGTGAGAAGAACTTCCAGGCATGGGAGGCATGGAAGTGCAAGGCAGAAGGGCATGCTCATGGAACTGAAATTATGGCAGAAGCATAAACGAGGATGGGAAAAATTGTCTGTGATGAGCTGGGTGACAGTTCACATAACACATCTTTCCCCGAGTAGCTCTCTGCTTCACATTGCTGGGGGAAGTAAAGGAGGAAGGATGAGGGAGGACAAGCGATAGGAGTTTGTCCTCCATCTGACAGCTAGAGAAGTGGAGGAAAATAGTAAACCAGTGCCCACCTCTTGATAAAGCTTTGCAAAATAATTGTTCGATGTTGAAGAAAGGAATGGAAATCTAGCAATATAACATACTTAGCTTTTCCCTTTTTGAGATCGGTCATCATACTCTTCTTTCCCTCGCCGCCAAGTCATAGCAGGGATTAGAGAAACCGAAGAGAAATTCTACTACATCGTGCAGGAGGAGAAGAACTACCGGGAATCCCTGACACACTGCCGGATCCGGGGAGGGATGCTGGCCATGCCCAAGGACGAAGCTGCCAACACGCTCCTCGCTGACTACGTCTCCAAGAGCGGTTTCTTCCGGGTGTTCATCGGGGTGAATGACCTTGAGAGGGAGGGCCAGTACGTCTTCACAGACAACACGCCACTGCAGAACTACAGCAACTGGAAGGAGGGTGAGCCCAGCGACCCCTACGGTCACGAGGACTGTGTGGAAATGCTGAGCTCGGGCAGGTGGAATGACACCGAGTGCCATCTTACCATGTACTTTGTCTGTGAGTTTGTGAAAAAGAAAAGGTAACTTCCCTCCTACTACACCTTTGTCATTGCCCTGTGGCTGCCAGCGCAGTTATTTTTATCCATCCTTTCCTTTCTACTGACATGCATTCATTCTGACTCAAGACAAATGAGAACTGCTAGACTGAGGTTGGGAATCTCCATCGCCATGCTCGTCCATGATGATTTTGGACATTTGCATTCATGTTTCATGTGTTATTGAGCCAGTAACTCACAAGGTTCTGGGTCCTGAGAGTTCAAATTACAAGTTATGCTGGAGGTGGTCTATGTCTCCGATGATACGTTCTTTTGGTATTTTGCTCTGCCACCTCTCCCTAGAGTCCTAAACCACTGTCTATCCAGGCCAGAGGTTAACTGGACAGTTGATGGGTGATGACCAGGCTAACCTGTTCTTGCTCAAGCCAGACAGATGAGAGACCCTTCTGCCTTTATCTGTCTTTGAACCCAAGATCCCCAGTTCTTTGACCAGTCACCCACCATGGCCGTAGCCACACTTGCAAGGTCCTCTTGTTTGCACAGACATAGAAATACTTTGACTCCGAGCCTCTGTGTGAGGCGCTTCAGCCTAGTGACCTATTCCAGACCATATGGATTCATACACACAAGTTCTGTGCTTCTGATTGACAGCCTGCACTGACTGAAGTGTACCGAGCCTTGGCCCCACTTCTCTTTATAAGGCCGCAACTTAAATCTCTGGCCCCCAGATGTTAACCCTTTGATCTGGGGAAAAGGGAACTTTAGAAATTGATAAGAAAAAAGAGAAGGTTAGTTCCCAAACAATGTTATTCATAATCCTCCTACTAAATTGCCCCCTTCTATTAATTTGGCTCCTTTTTTTTTTTTCTCCTCATCTTAGATTTATCCATAGCAACTTTCCTCTCCTTGGGCATGGAAAACGAGGGCAGGTGTTAGTGAAGCCTTCAGAAAACTCTAGAAACAACACCAAGTCTCTAGGACCCTCCCCCGCCTCTAATGTATCACTCGTGGTGACATTTTGTGAGAGGCCCTTTGCTCTCCGTAACTGCATGTTATAAAAACCCCACGGCCATGATGCTGTCAGGTACTCTGGCATCACAGGAATGTGTCGGGTGTGGAGTTTGGAACAGGCCTAGGACTCACGTTCACGAAGCTGAGAAAGTTCTACTTTAAAGTACCGATCCAACCTCAAAGCAGCTTCCATTTGAAATTTAAAACTAAAAGTTCAACAAAACCCTAGATTCGCCCCTTATAAGCTGCTGCTCCAGTTATAGTTTGTGACATATAATTAGACTGCTTAAAATGCTGGCAAAACAGTTAATGAAGTGGGAGGAACAGATCAACAACATATGTTCCCCTTAAACCATCTGTCCATGATTTCAACCATGACTATCTGGTTATGAGATAGGACTTAATTAGGTTGTTTCTGTGAGTTTATCAAGGGTCACAAGCTCAGGCCCTATGGGGTCCCTACAGACGACAGAAGCAAATGAAGTGGAACAGGTGGGGACACTGAACACAGCTTGCGCTCCTAAAGGAACCAGCCGCTTCTCAGTCACTGCTGCTTTTGCCATAGAGGATCCAAGGCCGCTCTGTGTACTGATATTTAAGAGAAGTCAGAAAGCTGGAACTTTTTATCTTTACATTTTTAAATGTTGGCAACTAATCAATTTCAATCCCAATTCTAAGTCATACAAACAGTCCTCTAGCCAAGATTGTGACCTTTCCATTTCTCCCTTCTGAAGGTTTTAAAGGATGTCATTAGGGTACAGTGACATCAAAGTCAAAGTCTCTCATTTATATCTCATCCAACTGTGCTCAGTAACAGGAATTTGGTCAATGTTTGCCATTCCTCAGGTTAATAAAGTAGTTACTAGTTCAGACTTTCGAGAATGTGGCGTATTTTAAAGGCAGGGAGGCTTAATAAAAATTATCAAGGAAGACGCCATGTCAAAGCCAGTATCCTTGTGTAGAATGCCAGCCAAGAGCTTGAGGAACAAAAATCTAGAAACACTTGGAGGAAAAGAAAGCGATAAGAAAAGAGGAGAGAGGGAACAGACAGCAGACATTGCCTATGGGCAGCTCACGTTGGGATCCATATTCTGATTTGTCCCAAGCGCCCCCAGCACGCATACTAATTGTGTGGACTGTCAGTGCTATTTTTATTTCTATCATGATTTTTATAATAACATTTCTCTCAATGACTCATCTCTGCTGCCAGTGATTCCAAGAGAAGATGACAGAGTTTCAAAGAATAGGAATTAATCCTGCGACCTTGCCTGGGAGAAATTTTGAAGACACCACACACTTAGGTTTGCTATGAAGCTTGCTTTGTGCTTTACAAAATAAATGCCTTCACATACCATTTTTCATGTGATCCTGATAAACTTTGTGAAGTAGAAAGGGGAGACATTTTCACTGCCGTGTTCCCAGTGAGAAAACTGAAGCCCAAGGAAGCTAAACAGTTTACCAAAACTGACTCATCTGAGGGAAAAGCGGGACTCCAGCCTGCTGAGTGGAACTGTCGATCCAGGGTTCTCTCCAGCCTCTCTTTACTGCTCTTACGCTGAGTGAAATTTCATCCATGATTCCCTTGTGGTAACAAGGGCTCAAGTAATCTCTCTTGACCACTTTCCAAAGTTAACGATTAGGGTTAATTAACAGAGATACTGGAGATTCAGAAACTTGCCTGACAAATATGGCACTCACTGGATTCTTTTTTAACTCAGAAATGTCGACACATCAAGATTTACGCAAAATAAAAAATGAACAAGTAATTATTTTCCCCATAAAAGAATTCACTAGAGAATTCCCTTAAGTAATTCGCGTTTAAAATCAATTTCATTCTCAAAAGTTAAATTTATACTCAAATTTTCACGGACACACCTGGGCACTTCCCAAGGGTAACATAAAGGTTCTGGGGAAAGAACATTAAAAATTTATTCGCGGTTGCAGAACGCTGCCTTTTCAAAGCAACACGCTCTATAACCTGGCAAGAAAAAAATACCTTGTGTCCGGAGTTATTACCCAGACACAGCAGAAAGTTGTACATCCTGTGCTGAGAGATATAGCAAACCTTGGTTACACTTTGGACAGCTCAACCATAAAAGTGCATTCTGTCCCACTTAGATGTACGTTGCCCAAGTATGAGCTGCTTTGGTTATTATTAACCAATTAATTTTTAGCTCTCTGGATTACATATCCAGACATCTGTGAAAGAGGAAAAGTAGAACCCACTGCATCATAAACAAATCGAGGTGGGGTGTTTGCAGGTCTTAACCTGTGATAAGAATATCATGGTGGGATTCCATGCCTTGTAGCAGAGAATTGAGGGTATCGCTTTGAAATTAAAAAATCTAGATCTGCTGTGATGACTGCCTTGAATTCCAGTGCCAAGTATGCCAGTTTCCTGGTCCCTGAGGAGTATTTTCCAGGCCCTTGTTTTCCCAATCTGTGTAGTTCCTCCTCAGAGAGTTTGGTGACCATTAAAGGAGATATTGAGGTATAATGTATCCCTGTATAATGAGGAAGGAAGCAGGGAACCAGCCACACACGTTATATGGATACAATTAAATAGCCATCACCACCAGCTACATGTTGAAAAGAAACAAACCGTATTTTAACGTATGTAAAAATTACCTAGGTTAAAAATAGATGCTATATGTGTGCATGTGCCTGTGTGTGTGTATACAGAGAATTTTTTCACCCTCATTTCTAGATAAAATGTTCATCTTCAGGGCAGTGGATAAATCTGCCCAAAGTTGTGCTGCTATTTGAATTAGAGCTGAGGTTCATAATGGGATATTATTGATTCTAAAATTGTGTATACCTTTTTTTAAGATGTAGTTCATCTGAACTTATGTTTATCATATAAAAAGTTACTACTTTTTTAAACTTAAAAATGAAATCATAGACCTGTATGACCTTGAGGTTGTAAAGCCCTCATCATCTAGCTTGCTTCCTGAAAATCTGAGGGTGAAAAAGTCATGACCTTTTGAATGGAGTTTAAAGGAAAAGAACCATTTGCCACAGATACTGTATGCATACATTTTTATGAATATAGGGCTCTGTTTCACTGCACCCCTAACAGATGGTCACACAGTCTGTATTTGAAGGTTTAGGGTAATTTGCTGACCCCTTTAAGAAGTTTTTCCTTACAATGAACTAAAATGCGCTTCTCTCTGATTTCCATCTGTGTCCTTGTTCTGCCTTCTACTGTTTACAGCTCTGAGAGGTCTGGCCCTGAAACAAGCCAGGGCAGGCTTTTAATGAAAGTACAAACCAAGGCAGGGAGAACTGTCCTCACTGTGGCCCTGGTCACGAAGCTGGATACCCAGTTTTAGAAATTTCTCTAAACCTGGACGGTATGGCCCACACCCAGTGAATTCACATTTTGTTGGTGAGGCATTTAAGGCACAGATGAAGAGTAGAAATGAGATTCAAAGTCACGTGGGGCATCTCAATCATAAATAGTCTCCTTATTAGGAGAGGGTATATGGTGGACAGGGTTCAACCCCAAGGAAGGAGGCCGTTGAGAGGTGGGTGGTTTGATAAAACCTCTTGGAGAGGGTTCAGGGCAGGTGTTCAGTGCCAGCAGGAGAATGAAGTCCAAATCAGAGTCCAGGTGCTTGGTGAAAAATTGGTGCAGATGGATATTAATTCATCACCTATATTTACAGAGCATTTGACATGTGCTAAGGACTGGAGACACAATGGAGAAGAAGACAGATCAGATTTCTAGCCTCATGGATAGAGTTCTCCTCAGGCTCATTGAACATCAGGCCTACCACACTGAAGTCCAAGAGTTAATCCTTTGTCAGGGATGGACTATATAAACCTGTTCCTTTTTTACTCCTGCTTCCTCTACAACATAACACCCCTTCAAAGATAGACTGAAATAAGTTGGACAAGAGAATTTTTTTGGTATAAGTACCACATTACCATTTCTTGAAGAGCAACATTGACACATCTCTTCAAACACATTTAAACATTCATGTAGGCCGACTAATTTTGATGTGAACAAAAAGTTCTCCTATCAGTGTGTATACTCACCCACACCGCTTCCTCACAAGACAGAATATATCTTGGTGGTTGTGCATGGATGAGCATTGACACCTGGTAAATGCTTCTTCACCTAATTTTTTTTCTGGTGACCTACACCTGACATTCAGTGAAACCCAGATTTGCCACGAATGGTCACTTTCATAATAAAATAAAGACAGGTAGGAGGAAGGGAGGAGAAGTGGGTCAGACGTTTTATAATTTATTAAAATGTGAGTACAGCAGCTTCGAATTAATCACCATGCTGGCATCTGTAGTTGGGAAATAATACAGATCGATGTGTGTCCACAGAATTTTAAAGCAATGTAACACTTTGGCATATGTGTTTTTCACCTTAGAACCCTTAAATGGACAAATCTGTCAAGAGTTAAGTCTTATCAAACCTGGCTGGTGGGTTTTGAGGGGAGGCGGTAGATATGAAGGTTGTCTACAACCCACCCCTCGATACGTTGTTGGAATGTTAGTCGGGAAGAGCACTCAGAAGCTCTGTCATGATATGTGAAAAGCCAAGGCAGGCACAGAAGCATTTCCTAAGCCTTGATAAAATGAGGGCAGTGGAGACATGATTGCAAAACACATTCAATTTAAGTTCCATAAAATCCCTTAAAATCTAGGTGAAGATTTTTACTGAGAAGTACCGGGGACATAATAGAGCCGACGTAATAGGCTTTTTCCTAGCAGGTCACAATTTCACATGGATATTTCCTGAATCAACTCGGAGCAGGTGATTCCAGAGAAAGCTTCTCGGGAGAAGCATATGTGCTTTGTTATGTGCTTTCTGGAAAGGTTTATGTTTAAAACAATAATATGTTTAAAAATAGATTTCCCCCGAATTCCCTGTTTTGTGTGATCTTATCGTCTTATCTTTGGTTCTGCTGACCTTGGTTCTTTTCAGGGACTCAACCTCCAGGAAGGATGAAGGATTTTGATTTTTGTACTGGCACTTACAAGCACCACAGTTCCCTTTTCCACAGAATCGGGGCATTATCTTTGCCCTAAAGGACCTGAAGACTTAAAGAATAGAGTGAACAAACACAGGAAGCGATTTCCAATAGAGCTCAAAATGTTGTTCTCCGCATTTGAGAAAAAGGAGATCCAAAATACATTTTGAGACACTGGAACGAAATATCAAAAAGCGCAGGTTTTTAAAAATCTTGAAAATATTTTTTCTGAGTTTTTAACCCTAAACACTGTTGGGTAGAGAGATTTGATAAGAAAAATAGGGCAGGGGGTAAATATGTGTGTTTGTGTTTCAGTCTTTGAAAGTGCAAAAAACCCCAAATAGCTAAACTCTTCTTTCCTCAGATAACCTATCTGAGGACAAGATGGGGCATTACACCATGGCTCCTTTGACATTTTTATGTTATTTTTCCTCATTCTTACATTTTCAAAAATTCAGTAGTTCAATATGTATTGTATACTAATGTCCAGGCCTCACCGATTCATGCCCCTATGAATTATTGAGATAACATTTGCAGGATGAAATTAGACATGAAAAAAGGATGTGTTCCTTTGATCACCACAAACCCACCCTTAGTTCCATATGGGCAGAAATAACATGATATCTGGATCCTGGTATGTAAACTCCTTACACCGGAAATTTTTACTGTCAAATTGTCTGCATTCCCTGCTAAATAATTTGCACGCTTGGGATTCTGAACCATCCTCGCACTGAATGTAATCACGATGGCTCATTAATTCCTGGGAATTCCTAGCCACAGTTGTTGGAATATTCCCTCCCCCTTTGCAGAAGTATAGTTATCACGTGGTTCTCAGGATTATAGTTGCTTCGTTCCTTTACTCTGAACATGGCTTGTACCATTGACACCCAATGATGAGGCGTAAAAGGCAGTTCTACCTTATTTTGTGCAAAGATCACCAGAGGCAACCCCACCCTCATTTAGGTCTATGTGTTCAATACCCATAAGGGATCTTTGATTAAGCCTTTGATCTAGAGAATCTCCTTTCCATCAAG